TCCCATCCCTCCCTGCCCTTGGCCCAAGTCCCTCCCCAGCTTTCCTGGAGCCCCTTCAGGCACTGGAAGCTGCTCTCAGGTCTCCCTGGAGCCTTCTCTTCTCCAGGCTCAACACCCCAACTCTCCCAGCCTGTTTTCATAGGAAAGGTGCTAAAAAAGCCTGAAACCCCAAATGTCCTCAGGCTTCCTGGACATTATGTGACCTGTAGAGGCATCACAGCAGAGCAGAAGCAGAACAATGGCACATGGAGAAATGGGATCAGCATGCAGCTGGCAATGGTATGAACAGGTTTTTTGGGACTGTAGCCCAAATTTCACTTACATCACAGACAGTTGTGCCACCCCCCTTGGGTACAGGACCCAGCACCAGGATATGTTCCAGGTCTGGACAACTGCTGGTTGTGAAACCGGGTGAATACCTGATACCTGCTGCCACATCCCTGTCCCACCTTCCTCCCAGTGACCTCTTCAAAGCCCCTTTCTTCATCAGGACCGTTTTTCTGATGCAAGTCTTACCTGCATAAAGCTCCCTGTCTTCACCAAACACACCTCATGGTCAACTTCAATTTTCCTTTTGTTAAAACAAGTTCATTCAGAGCTGCCCTCACCCCGACTTATTTCACCAACCCCAATTGGCACAGACTCCACGTGCAGTGCTGGGGAGGCTCAGAGCAGCAAGGGGGTTTCCCACTGCCCAGTTCGAGGGGGGTTTCACTCTCTCCCTGCACCATGAACTTGTTTTAAAAGTGACCCCTGAGCCAAAGGCAAGTCAAGAATCCTGGGAAGCAGGAAGAGATTCTTGGAAAAAATGCTCTTACCTCGGTCTCGGCCATACACCGAATTCCCTTTTGTGAGGAAAGAAACCCCAACCCGCAGAACATCTCCCGGGGGGGAGGAGGCACCGGGCGGGCTGGGGGCAACGGATCACCCCGGCAAGATGGCTGCGAGCTCCGTTTCGGTTTCGGTTCCTGTTCCCGCAGCGGCAGCCCCGGCCCCGCCCCGGGCCGCCCCCTGGCCCGGGGACGGCAGGGAGAGGAGGCGGCTCCTTCCCAGCGGGGAGCGGCATTTGGGGCTCTCCGAAGCACGCGAGGCTTTGCGAGCACCGAAACCCCCGAGTTTCCTTCCCAGCACCGGCCCCGTTAGGGCTCGGCCCGGGACAGCAAACCCCGGAGGGAAGCTCCTTCCTCCGGTACATGCGGCGGTTTCGAGCCCCCCGGGCTGTGGCGGGGCCGGGGTCCCGCTCGGCTGCTCTCCCGGTTCGGAGAGGGGCTGCGGGAGCGGCT